TTGTTTATATTACATAATTATGGATTGTATCTTAGATATCGTGAATGTCACAATGTGGAGACTCCTGATTCTGTACTATTCACTAGAAGAGTGTTGATTGTTGGTTAGTTTGTTTTAGCAAAGCAACAAAATTGGTTGGGCTCGAACTGAAAACTGTCTCGGGGATCAGCTCAAATTCAAGTTTAGTTCTCTTGTTCTTAGTTGGGCTGTGAACATGTGTAGTTCTAGATCAGCCAAAGATTTGGACAGTTTATACACAGAATTCGTAGTTCCCTCTTATTAGCTATCTCCTTTTAAGGATTCTCTTCCTCTTTCTGGAGAGAAGGTTGCCTAAACTCTGTCCACTAATTCAGTAGTCCAGAAAGACTGCAGGTTTTTAGTAGAGTTTTGAGCAGCACTGCCTGAGGCCTGCCTTCAGACCAAAAGTCATAAAAAGGAAACTCCTTCCGTCTTCTTTTTCTTCCAAGTGTAGATTCTCTTCAGAATCTGCCTGCTTTTTTTCTACTTTCTGGTGTTTTCCGATAATTTTTGTTTGCTTATTTGTTTATTTTTGTATTTTGTCCAGTGCTAATAGTTATTATTCATAGGATAGTTTGTCCAGTGTGAGCTGATTAGGCCATATATAAGAGATAATATATAGAGGAATTTTCATGACACCCAGATGTGAAGAATTAAGACATTTAGGTATTAAGTCTGAGTTGCTAAAGAGATACAATGAAAGAGATACAATGAAAGACACATAGAAATTGGAATGGGGTCTTAGTCAGCTCAGCTGCCGTAATAAAATAGACTGGGTGTTTAAACAACAAATTTATTTCTTACATTCTGGAGGCTGGAAAGCCCAAGATCAAAGTGCCAGCCAATTTAGTTTCTGTTGAGAGCTTTCTTCCTGGCTTGCAAATGGCCAATATGATGGAGAAAGAGAGTGTGCTCTCTGATGCCTCTTCTTACAAGGACACAAATTCTATATATCAGGGGGCTCATTTTACCTTAATTATTTTTATAAAGGTCCTATCTCCTACTATAGCCCCATTGGGGATTAGGGCTCCAACATATGAATGTTGTTGGGGGAGACACAATTTAGTCTATAGCAAATGGAAAACTGGCTTTGAAATGAAAAGATTATACATTATTTTAGACGTGTTGAGTATGAAATGAATAATATACAAATTGCTGGAGATGGAGGCTGAGGCATAGAAAAAAGAAGATTATTGATGATTTATAAACCTTCAACATATAGCTTCAACATGTAGCTTCAACATGTAGAGTTGAGGCCATGGGGGTTGGATGAGCTGTATGAGGAAGAAAGCGTAGATCAAAACTAAGGATTAAGAGGGCAAAGACCAAGCCATGTGCAAACTCTCATAGAAGATAAAGGATGAATAAGTCAGCAAATAAAACAAATTAGTTCTTGGAGAGATAGAAAGAAAGGAGGAAAGTAAAATAGTGTGTAGGAAAATGAGAAAGAAAAGGGGGCTGTGCAAAAGTGGTCAATTGTGCTATATGTGGTGAGAAAGGTCTTGAAAAAGGCCAGTGTTAAAAGGCCCTGGATTTGTAAATTAGGAAACTGTTATTGACTTTTGAGGAGGTAGTCTTACAAAGTGATTGGAAAGATATTAATGTGCAAGAGATTAAGGAAAGGCAGGATGGGAGTGACATGAAGGACATATTTGGAGCCTAGATGGTGAGTTGGATAACTGGCTAGCAAATGCAGTGAGGAGCCACTGAATGTTGAGAACAAATTGAATTCAGCCATTCACAGATAACCACTCCTTTCAGCTGACCACGTTCATCCTTTCATCAGTCATTGTGCATTAACTCTACTAAAGCAAAATTATCTATGCTGGAGATAAAATAGTCTCTGCTCCCGTGTAACACATATGTGTCTTCTGCTCACTGCCAAGTCTCAACCTCTGTCTTCTGTGCATTGAAATCTTTCCTTAGAGAGCTAGAGCTCAACCTGACCTGTTCTTTTTTTTTTTATGTTATATCTTTTTTTAAATTTTATTATGTTATGTTAATCACCATACATTACATCATTAGTTTTTGATGTAGTGTTCCATGATTCATTGTTTGCGTAAAACACCCAGTGCTCCATTCAGTACGTGCCCTCTTTAATACCCATCACCAGGCTAACCCATCCCCCCACCCCCTCCGCTCTAGAAACCTCAGTTTGTTTCTCAGAGTCCGTAGTCTCTCCCCTTAATTTTTCCCTTCCTACTATCTTCTTTTTTTTAACATATAATGTATTATTTGTTTCAGAGGTACAGGTCTGTGATTCAACAGTCTTACACAATTCCTGTGAATTGAGTAAAACCTGACCTGTTCTTAGCAGAGCCATCTTCTTTACCCAAGGTGAGCTCCCTACTGTCTGCAAAATTTGATGATTTTTCACTCTAATTGAAGTAGTGAGCAATGGGTGTTGTACACAACTGATGAATCCCTAAATTCTACCTCTGAACTAATAATACAGTGTATGTTAATTAAATTGAATTTAAATTAAAAACTTTAAAAATCAAAAAAATAAATATAAGGGGCGCCTGAGTGGCTCAGTCGGTTAAGCGTCTGCCTTCGGCTCAGGTCATGATCCCAGGGTCCTGGGATCAAGCCCCGCATCGGGCTCCCTGCCCAGCGGGAAGCCTGCTTTTCCCTCTCCCACTCTCCCTGCTTGTGTCCCCTCTCTCGCTGTGTCTCTCTTTGTCAAATAAATAAACAAAATCTTAAAATAAAATAAAATAAAATAAAATAAAATAAAATAAGCATGTTTTAAAAAAATAATAAAAAAATAAATATAAGAAAACTAAAAAATGTTATACAACGTTTCAGAATCAATGAGCTTTTTCATGAGAACCTCATGAAAAAATTTTAAATTAGTGCATATTGCAATAATGACTATGTCATTTATCAGATGTATCAACTTTATTATAAGTTTTTATATTACACATATAAACTCTACATATAAACTGAGTATTTAGTTCCATAGACTTTGATTCAGTTAGACTGGGATCAATCCTAGCCATTAATATTGTCTTAAAAGCTTTCCAGTTGATTTTATTGGATACCCAGGATTGAGAGCCATTGGATCAGCATTTTGTTGTTTTGTGGTATTTTGTTGAAGAGCATTGGCACTGAGGTGGGAACAGAAATATTAGTGTCCTCTCAGTTTGGGATTGCTTTTTGCTGCCTGCACTTGCTATAGGGTGACTTCTATTGGTGTTCTGCTCAACTGTACCTCACTAAAGATAAGATGAATAATCTTAACCTCACAGTAAAGATTTTTTTTTGATCCAAAGTCAATATCATTTTATGGATGGTAAATGATTGTGCATGCAATTATCTGCTTCCAAATTAGAGTGTATTTTTAATTTCTGATGAGTCCCTTTACTTGTGTAATATTTGTTTGGACTTGTATTAGTTAGCATAACTTGTATTCTCCTCACTTCCAGAATACCTTGTTAAATTGCTTTAATGTAAAGAAAAAAGTCTGATGCCTCTGATTTTGCCTGATGATGCTATTAAAGGGAAGATGGAATATCTAGCTTTGATAGAGCTTAGTATGTGTCTAGCTACATTTAGGGAGTTTGACAAAAAATAATGCTGTAGAGTCCTACCCTTATTTTGAGGAGAAGTGACATATAGGAAAATCTATAGAACAAGAAGGTAAAAACTGTACGAAGCCCTATCTGATGGCATGGAAATACTGAAGTTACCCATTGATGCAGTACTAAATAAGAGATAGCAACCTCAAAATCCTAAAGGGGTCATGCAGCTAATTTAGCCACTAGAAACTTCTGGGGAAAAGGAGATAAAATGTTCTGAAACCAATTTAACACCTGCGCAGTTATAGCACCTTTTAAAAACATTGGCAAAGCACAAAATACGGCAAACAAAACCTGCCTTACTTTACACCCTTGGTCTGGGTGAGTAAAGGCTAGATCACAGGTGAAAGAAACAAGTTAATGCAATAGGAAAGGAAATTGGGATTGTAGAAGACGAATTGGCATACGGTAGACTCCCAGTAACTATTGGCTGAAAGATTAAAGAAATGAGAAACATACTGGAAGTAGTTTGGGCTGAAGCACAAATTTCATCTGGGAATTGCCTGTTGCTGCATTGGATCAAGCATTATATTATCTGTGTGCTTCTTCTAGCCAGGACATATTCTCCCCACTGATATAGGACTGCCAAAGGGGGAATAAACGAGGGAGCTTATCATGAAAAGAGAGGAGAGTGCTTTCTCTTCTTTAGTCTCTCTGTTTCATTATGCCTCATGTACTCTTATAATATATGACCTCAAATTCCAAAGGAAGCCTGGCCTTTCAAAACTCATGAGAATTTTGTTTGGACAACGGAGGATTCCCTGGGTGTGCCAGAAAATAGACCTACTTAGGCTAATTCAGGAAAACCTTCTGTTCTTTGTCGTCTACTTGGCTCACCTCTACTCCTTTGCTTCCATTCCAAGGCAAGCTGATTGCCTCTGGTAACTTGTTAGGAAATTTTACTAGAGATTCTTCTTTTTACACACTTCATGATCAGTTACTAACTTCAAGGTTTTCAAGTGGTTCTGATATTTAATTCTATAAATAGCTTTATTGTGGTATCATTTAGATAACATAAAATTCATCTATTTAAAATAGACAGCTCAGCTAATTTTAGCCAATTTATACAGGTGCCCAACCACCATCCCAGTCCATTTTGGGATGCTTCCATCCCCCTGAATAACTCCCTTGCACCCCTTTGCAGTCAGTCCCCGCTCTGATCTCCAGCCCCAGGCAAACACTGATCAGCTTGATTTGCTTTCTGTGGCTATAGTTTTCTCTAGTCTTTTTTAGAAACTTCATCTGAATATAAGTATCTGATATGTACTTTTAATTTAGAAACTCAGTTTACCTTATTAAAATGGCCAGTTTATATTTCACTATAAACAGTAACAGAGTAAATCAGTTAGAAGAATTTTCTTAATCAAGTGCAGAGACTTTAATTGTATGCCTCATTTGCTTGGCTGAGTTGCAACTTACTCTCTTTTAGTTGGATATCTTGTTCAGTTTTGAGCTATGCATTACATATTACCTCTTCAAGATGTATGAATCAATCTTCTTTCCAACTTTAGGCTTTATTCCACAGTCAATTTTATTAAGACATGTTTTCCAGAACTACAAATATTTATGTGTGTGCAAAGTGGAAAAAAAACAGAGATACCTAATCAGCCTTCAAACATTTGCGGATAGATGAATGGATGCAAGATGGATTGATGAATTCCATATTTAGCCCTCAGGAAAGTGGTTTATATTGTAAGTTCTCGGATGTAGAGAATTCACAAATTGCTCCTATTTGAAATAGAATTTCACTATCTGTGTGTTTTTATTTAACAGAAGGAATATGAAACATGTTCTAGCAAGGAATAAAGCATTGCAATGGACTAAGTCCTATGTTTTACCAGAGTTTCCCTATGATGTCAAATGCATGTTAGCAGAACAGAAGTGTCCCGATCACAGCATGAGGATAAGGATCATTGAGTTTCTCCAGGCCGACATGACTAAGTATCTGGAAGGCTCACTGTGAGTAATAACAGGGTGGACTTGCTGCTTTGGGAGAGGGTCTGTTTTCAGAGTAGAGTAGAACTCATTTGGAACCAATGTGCTTCAGGTTTTGGATGACGTATTGGTAATAAGCCCAACATTGCCCAATATTTGAATATCTACATTGGTATGTAGGAGGATCTGAAGAACAGTGAGTATAATTTGGACTCAACTTATAGGAAAGAATGTGGGCTGCTGCTTGAAGTGAAAAATGTCCTCCTTGTTGCACTCACCAGGTATCCCAGCACCCAGCAGTACAATGATGTGGTCAACGCCTTGCTGCAGGCCCACCCTTTCCTGGACGAGGATGGCTGTGGCTTTGTAAGTGACCACATGGCGCCATACCATTCATCCCAACCCATCTTAAAATAATAGCATTGTATTGTCCAGTAATCTTATGCCCCATTCCCCTTCTCTCAGTCTCTCTCTATCCATCTATGTCTGTTTCTCTTTCGCTGTCTTCTTGGACTCATTGTCTCTGTCTGGTCTCTCTGATTCTGTTCTGTTAGCTCTATCTCATTCTGTCAGCTCCTGTTTTTTTTCTTAGCTTTGGTCTCTCTCTCTCCACTCCTCCTCCTTTTCCCTCTCTTTGCAAGATTGAGAGGAAGGTACAGAGATCTCTCATGTGCCCCCTGCCCCCACATGCATAGCCTCCCCCATTATGAATATCCCACACCAGAGTGGGACATTTGCTACAATGGGTGAACCTACATCGACATACCATTATCACCCAAAGTCCATAGTTTACATTAGGATTCATGCTTGTGGCTGTACGTTCTATGGGTTTAAACAAATGTATAATGACATGTATCCATCATTATTGTATCTTACAGAGTATTTTCACTGACCCAAAAATCCCCTGCGTCCCACCTATTCATCCCTTCCCCATCTCCTTCCTTTGTCTTCTTTGTCTGTCTGTCATCATCTTTCTGTCTCTCCCTCAAAGCAGTTTGGAAGCCTATGTGTACTGTTGAATCTCCAGGCAGGGTCTTTAGGGGGATGTAATACACAGAAGGAGAAGGACATGACTGTTCCTATGTCATTGCTATCATCACTGGAGTGTTGCTTGCCTTCCTTCCTTCTTTCCTTCCTTCCATTTTCTTTCTATATTTTCTGTGTGGATAGAATCAGAATTTTCTTAGTGGGAGAGGGCCATATATATTCTTATTTACCACCCAGACTCACGAAAGGAATTGTATTCTGTGTCTGGAACTAGGAACTATTGAAGCCCAGAATGGAATTTAGATATTTTTGCTTATAGTCTGACATCATTCCTAAAATATGCTGCTGCATATAAAAAGCATGCTGTAAAATAAACCACATTTTCTCTAAAAAAAAAAAACAAAAACACACACTATATAAAAAACCCTTAAAAACTACAAAAATAAACAAACCTAGAGTCCCAACATTGATAAACACACTGATATGCCTGACAAAATTGATTCTAAAAATGCCTTCTACACTCAAGATATACTATCTGCCAACTAATCATTGTTACTGTGTATAGAGACAGTTGCATTTTAAGAAAGAATTTAAATTTGCTCTTTGAATAAATGATATATTCACAAAGTTCAAAACTCTGAAGCTACAATAAGATATAAATGGAAAAGTCTCCCTCCCACCTCTGTCCCCCAGCTACCTAATCTTCCTCCCCAGAAGTAACTAATGTTATTAGAGATTCTTTCTAGAGAATCTTTGCATACATATAAGCAAATACATATTTATCCAATTACATTTTGACCTTTAGTTTCATGGTTATGAAAGTGAGACAAATAGAAAGTAATGAATAATGCTTACTTTGATCTTGTGTGCATTTTACCCACTTCTATCCCCAGTGGCATTAATGAAAGATGGCTAACTGAAAGAAACCTGAAAAATTGCTTAGCATGTTATGGCCCATGTTTGTACACATTGAATGGAAGGGGAAACTCTGGTGCATAGTAGAGAATGTTCATATGTGAATGCACGTGTGTGTGTGTGTGTGTGTGTATGTGAGAGAGAGAGAGCATGCACAAGTGATCAAGCTCTTTCTTCGTCATTTTTAGGGCTAATTTTATTCTCGACTTCTTATTTTGAAAATTTTCATGTCTACACAGAAGTTGAAAGAATGCTACAGTGACCACCCATATATCCTTTACCTCAATCAAGGTTTCTCCATCTTGGCAGTACTTAGAATTTAGGCTGGATGAGTCTTTGTGGTGGTGGCTGTATCCACATTGTAGGATAGTTAGCAGCATTCCTGGCACTCTCTAGGTGTGAGTAGCCCCCACCCACTCACCCAAAGCATGAGAACAACCACCCTGTCTCCAAACATTGCCACGCGCATTTTGGGAAGAGGGAAAAATCCTGATACTTAAGAATCACTGATCTAGATTCACTAGGTATTAATATTTTGTCATATTTATTTTTCCTGGCTCATATTTATCTCTTTGTTTTGGCTGAGCATTTGGAAACAAAAAATAGGTTTCAGATGCCATTCCTAAATACTTCGGCAGATATCTTGTAAGGACAAGGATGATGTCCTCTATAAGCACAATACCATTTTTATACCTAAGAAAATGAGCAATAATTGCATAATTTCATATGCAGTAACTGCATAAAGACATATATAAACCATATTCCCATTTCTCCAATTATTCCAAAAATGATTTTGTCTTTTCTATGTTCCTATCAGACAGTTAATAAGGAGAGCAGGGAGAGGCTGGGAAATGTCCTAGTATTTGATGGCTGTAATCTTTCCCACCAGATCAGCAGGTTTAGAAGGACTTCAGAGCTGTAGGAAACATGAGGGAAAAATGCATTTGCAATCATTCATATTTTAGAGCTAAGAAAAATGTAAGCCATCCATTCTTTGTGTGTTGTTGTAAAACAGCGGTGGCTGAGGGCAAACCCGCAAGGCTGTGGGAGGTGAGGGAGCGTCTCTGACTCATACATACTTATCATCAGAGTTGAAGCTGTCCGCCAGCCTCAGCCCACAGCAGTCCTCTGCAGGGCCGTGGAAGGCTTTATGAACAGCACTTTCATTTACAAATCACTTCTGTGAGTAGCAATCATGTTGGTCTCCCAAAACCCCAGGGCAGTTGACAGGACTGAGCTTGTTGTTCCATTTTATAGCTGAAGAAACTAAGACTGAAGAGTTACTTGCTGATTTCTTGGCTAAGACACACTAGGCCTAGACCCCGGGTCCTCCCAACATAGATCCTTCCTCTGAAGGGTAGGGAATAACTCTTCTAGAGACTTAAGCCAGGGAAGAAGGAATGGCAGAATCTAACTGCCAGACATGGTACTCATGTGATCTCGGTGGCATTCCCATTTGCCCATGAGGAAATAGAGCTTAGAAGAGGTGCCCAAAGTCACCCCAGTCTTGGGCCTCTTCAAGCACATGGCATGACAAGGAAGGGGAGGGGCTGAGAAGCAGCCTTGAGGCTCAGGTTTTAAGAGGCATTGGGCACATGATGATGAACATTTTTTCAGACACATGAAGAAATGTTCATCATCATTAGCCATCAGGGAAATTCAAATCAAAACCACATTGAAATACCACCTTACACCGGTTAAAATGGCAAAAATGGACAGGGAAAGAAACAACAAATGTTAGAGAGGTTGTGGAGAAAGGGGAACCCTCTTACACTGTTGGTGGGAATGCAAATTGGTACAGCCTCTTTGGAAAACAGTGTGGAGGTTCCTCAAAAAATTAAAAACAGTTACCTATGACCCAGCAATTGCACTCCTGGGTATTTACCCCAAAGACACAGATGTAGTGAAAAGAAGGGCCATATGCACCCCAATGTTCATAGCAGCAATGTCCACAGTAGCCAAACTGTGGAAAGAGCCGAGATGCCCTTCAACAGACGAATGGATAAAGAAGATGTGGTCCATATATACAATGGAATATTACTCAGCCATCAGAAAGGATGAATACCCAACTTTTACATCAACATGGATGGGACTGGAGGAGATTATGCTAAGTGAAATAAGTCAAGCAGAGAAAGTCAATTATCATATGGTTTCACTTATATGTGGAACATAAGGAATAGCATGGAGGACATTAGGAGAAGGAAGGGAAAAATGAAGGGGGGGAAATCGGAGGGAGAGATGAACCATGAGAGACTATGGACTCTGAGAAACAAACAGGGTTTTAGAGGGGAGGGGGGCGGGGAGATGGGTTAGCCCAGTGATGGGTATTAAAGAGGGCACGTACTGCATGGAGCACTGGGTGTTATATGCAAACAATGAATCATGGAACACCACCATCAAAACCTAATGATGTATTGTATGGTGACTAACATAACATAATAAAATTAAATTAATTAAAAAAAAAAAAGTGTTGGGCTACTCCTCACGAAGTGAGGTCCTTACCAAGCAAGACCAAGACTCAGAGTCTTGCTTCTAGTCTGTTGCTTCGACACCTGGGTCCCTCTACCTCACAGAGGACTGATACAAGGCATCCAGTATTGATAGTTTCTCAGACGCATCAGGCACTGTGCTGGGCTTGGTGAAGAAAGCAGACATGAGCCTGTCTTCTTGTGCTTACAGCCTAGTGAAAGGAAAGGAAATAAAGAGGGAAGGGAGTGAAGTAAGGAAGCAAGTAAGCAAATGGGGGAGAATGAAGAGAGGAAGAATGAAAAGAACAGAATAGAAAAGCACAGAAGCAGAAAAACATCATACAAATGAAGGTAAACTCCCAGTGTGGTACATACAGACAAGGAAAGCTGAGAGCTGCTATCAGGGGACATGAGCTGACTGAGATCTGGAGGCAGAGCAAGAGGTAACTAGATACCAGCAGAATGAAGGAGGAGAGGGATAGAGCTTTCCAGGCCAAAACCAAAGGCCCAGCAGAGAAAGACAGCATTGGTTTGTTGAGAAAGCCCAGTTGTGTCCCTCAGCTGTCGCCCATGTCTTTGATCTCCCAAATACTCCAAATGGCAGACAGATTCTTCCAGAGCCCAGATCTGACCATCTGCTCTCCTATCTCAACATGGCCTCGGAGGACTTACTAGCTTGGCTCTGTAGCTGGATTATCTATAAAGCCTTGAAAAATACAGACATCTGGGCTCTGCTCAGACCAACCGAATCAGAATCCTGAGGGTCTGGGCCAGCAGCATCAGGGTCACCTGGGAACCTGTAAGAAATGCAGATTCTCAGCCCTATCCCCGACCTTCCCAACCAGAGACTCTGAAAGACAGGCCCAGCAACTTGTATTTTAACAGGTCCTCCAGGAACTGTGATTGAGGTTAAAGTTTGAGAACCACTGCTTTAGAGGAAGGACCAAGGATGAAAGTTCCCTATGAGATGCTGATGTAGCCTGTCCACAGACAAGGGTTTGAAAAGATCTGGTTCTGGATTGCAGAGAAGCTCCTTTATGGGGCAACCATGCCTTTCAGAATTGGGCTGGCTTCTCTCTCCTGCCTTAGTTTCTGGCCCATTCTCTTCTGGTCCATCTTAAACTCTGTGTTCCAGCCATGCACAGCTCTTGGCAGCTCTCCAAGGGGCATGGGCTATCCCTCTGCTCCGTGGCACAGACTGCTTCATTGGAACTTCTATCCACCCCCACCCACCTGGCATTTCCCAGTGCCATCTCCACTGGCCCCCCTCATGTAGTTTTCTAAGCCTAACACCTAAACCTCAGCTTAGGTGTACCTCCTACAGGAAGGCTTCTGTGGTCTCCTAACACAATGTAAGATCATGCTGTCTCTTCCCCTGTTATAACACTTTTCTTTCTGAACTGAAATTACTCATCCTTCTGCTAGATGGGGTCTGCCTGTGCCCCCACTCCCTCCCAGGGCAGGACCCTGGTCTTTGTGTCTGAAACAGTAGATGCTCTACAAATATTTAGGGAATGAATGCCAATAGTATTCACCAAAGTGAATTTCAAGGGATGACAGAAAAATTGTTTTTAAGAAAATGCGTCAATCCATATATGCATAAGACAGTATCAGTTCTTCCCTAGAACCCAGTGGAAAAGTGGAATGTGTTGTGGAGACAGCAAAGTATGGTAGAAAACATCCAATTTGGGGAATTAGAAAATCCAAATCGAAGAGCCAGTATATTCACTCAGTAACTAGGTGGCATTGGGGAACTATTTTTATTTTTCTGACTCTGTTTCCTTAGTTATGATTTTGGGATTATATTTTTTATAGCAGTATCATAAGACCATTGTGAAGGTAAGTGGAAGGATAGTTCTATTATTTCTATTACTGTGATGTGAAAATAACTTCAAGCCCAAGAGTGATGAAGATTTTATTGTTTATATGGGATTATTCTAGTCTCCTTGAAGATTAACTGTCCTGTTCTGTTAATTTATGCAGTTTTTATGGAAACGAGCTCTCAAAGATCGCTTTAAATATGTTCGGAGACCCATAGAAGATGATGAACAAGTGATGAGAAATAAGTGTAAATTTGGACACAGAAGAGGCCAGACGAAGAAATCTCTTACCGATATAAGCTTTGATGAGGTTAAAATTGTCCAGATAAAAGTAAGATTGGATATTTAGATGTTCTGATAATTTGTTGATTGATTTATTAAAGGATAATAAGTAATAGCATCTAAAATCACTAAAACAGAATCATATTCTTTTTGAAAATTGGAGGTAGGGAAATCTGTTTTGCATGGCTAATAATATGAATGATAATATTAGATAAAAAGAAGGCTTCCTAAAACAGCTTGAGCAGAGTGTCTGTTATCATCATCTCAGGTTTATTCTTTCATAACCTTTGAAAAACCTAGAAACACCCTTTTGTTCTGGGTCTTTGAAAAATTTCTCTTCCTCTCATCATAAAATACATCTTATGTTCTTGCTGTTCTTACTGCTGCAGACAGTTTTTAGAAAGCATATTGTAGGGTAGCCTCTATCCTCAAGGTTTCAGGGAAGCATGTAACCCACAGGGATGGATACAAACCCCATCCTACCCTTTCATTGCCCAGAAGACATCACGTACCAACCCAGAGGTGGCTGTAAGGAATTTCAGGCCTAAGGGCCAGACAGCGCCTAGAGATTCCCCCCTCAGCAGTGGGTTTGCTGTAAGTAAGGTGCATGCAGGTCCTAATTACTGAGATCCTATAAATACCCTTTAACTACCTCAGAGCCCCCAGATATGGTCAAAGCCAAAAATGTCCCCTGCTAATAAAGTAAATGAACTCCTTAGGAAGGATGTCCAAACTACCAAGTATAAAAGAAGTCCAATCCCATAACTGCCAATTCTGTTTCCACCCCAGTCCAACATGAACATGTAATCCTAACTCTTCACCACAAACACACTTATGTTAGTGAATGTACTTCGTGTGAACATTCCATTTTCTTTTTTAGCTGATGTATTTATTTGATAGTAATAGAGCAACCTAGTTGGTCGTCTCAATTTTCTTAGTAATAAGCTCCAGGGGATAGGAAGATTTTTTAAACATATTTTGCAAATCATTCATCCCCACAACATAAAAAAAATTAGATGAAGGTGTATATTTTACATATCTTATTATAATTTTCAAAGAGATTTTCAAGTCATAGGTCAGTTAAGAGAATATAATTTTATGCCTGTTCTTTGACCAGAAGACAGAAGAAAGGTAACAATTTAGTGGTGTAACTTTTTAGAAACTTGGCAATATTCCAGTTATAAACTAAAATCATGATAAGATAGAAATAGATTTATTTTAATTATCTTTTATATTCTTAAAAAGTCACTTTGTAAGGGAACATAATTATGTCATACATAAGTTGGTTTTCTCAAAAAATTTGATTTTCCTTATAATAAAAATGGAGTTCCTTTATAAATAGTTCTGCAAATTCAGTTTTCCTTCTTTTTCTTTGATGCATGACTCACCAAAATTCATTGGAATGAATGAATGGTAAAATCAGAAGATTAGCAATTGTCCCTAGCCCTAGAACTCTCAAAGGTATGTTTGTGGGGTCAGAGATCACACAGGCTAAAGGGCAGCTTCTCCTTTTTGTTGACACATCATCACTGAATGAATATTTACATTTGTCTTCCAGTTCTTTCTCAACACCACCTCAGTTCTTCATGTAATGACACCCTTCGTTGCTCTTCCCTTCTACTCTTCCCTCCCCCCCCTCGGCCCCCAGACAACCCTGAATACTCAGATGAATCCTGCTAGGATCCATGCAGGGACTTTTGCTACGAAAACACATCCCCCTTCTCCCCCCACCCCAAAAAACACAGAAAATTGAATGTACCAGAGTCTGAGATGAGTTAAGTTACAATAGAATTTAGTTTTGACCTTCTTGCCAGCTGGGGCAAAAAGAGATTATAGAGTGACCATTGAAGAGACAGTGTTTTTTCCTGGCAAACAAATCTAATCAGTGAAGATTTACTTTTCTCTTCCTTACAAATGGAGCCACAGATTGCTGATTCTTTCAGAGACTGTAACATCTCTGTATGTGACCTAGTGTTCTCTAGAGCCAAAAGCTTTGAAGAATGGGGAAAAATTCACACTAGAATATTACAAAAACAATGTGTCTCTCTATTTTATACCCTGGATGGCGACAAGGCAAATGGTAAAACCCTAAGAAGAGTGGAAAGACAAATCCATTGAATATACTACTTATCTCACAGAATTGGATACTTCAAATGAATTGCCTAAATTACTTCTCATCTCTGTTTTGAACTTTTGATAGCTCCTTTGCAGTATCTTTAAGATTTCTGAAAATGAAAGACATTTTGGATTAAGATACTTTGGTAACTTTCACATCTTTTAAACTTTCTTGACCAGGCACAATATTTCCATAATGCAGAAAAGTTATTTCATGTGCAGCAGAGATAGAAAATGCTGATGGAGGCTAGAAGTCAGGATTCAGGCTATTTCCTCAAAGGCAGGGAAGTGGGTTTGGATGAACTAGAGGAGGATTTTGGAAAGGAGTAAGAGAGGGGAAGAGATTTTCGTTTGTTTTGTTTCATTTCTGTTGTTTCTCTTTTGATGGTTGCAAGGAATTTACCAAAGAACTGAAGGTAGATGTCTCAGTGAAGGAAGGTGTTTTTCTTAGCTCTGTCACATGGGCTTCTGCCGATAACCGAGGCAGCAGTAGAATTTGTGTGGGTCTCAGTATAGGTCACGGACCTTTTGTCCCTAACTTTCCTCCTATCCCAATCTCTGCGCCAGATTAGCGCTGCTTAACCTACACTATGAAACCCAAAGCATCCACCTGTGAGTCTTAAATCTACCCAGCTTCCTCATATTCTGTCGCTAAAAAGACTTAAACATGTTACATGGATGGCTATCGTTGTCAGAATCCCAGACTTTGTTTCTAGATCAAGCCTCCAAAATACTGGGCATTTTGCAATGTTTAAAAATCTTTTTCCAACCTTATGACCTCATTTTGCTGCTGTGTCATGAAGCCCAACGCAGCAGCTGTGCTATAGCTCGTATGTATCTGACTTCCAGTTTTAGGTCCAAGCAATTTGCAGCCCTGTGAATCGATAAATCTATTTCCTTTGCTTAATAGTCTTTGACTATACTTTGTCTTCTATTTAGAAACAGAGGTATAATTAGGTTCTCAAAACAGTAGACTTAACTGAGTAATGTCATAAGTTGCTGACATTATCCTGTTTAAATGAAGATACTGGTTTTAAAAGCTTATAGGAATTGTATAGAACTGCATAGCAGTGTAATGGAATTTTACTTTGTAGCATATTTTTTTTTCTTTTTTTTCTTTTTGTGAAAAATCTCAGGTGTTAAAGTTGAGTGAGTCCGACTCCATAATTCATGGCCTGTCATGGTCATTGTCCCATGTGAGGCCTGTCATTGTTCTTCATGTTGTTTTGTTCTCATCCCTGTCTGCTCATCCCTCCCCTCTGCCCTTGAGCCACCATTCCAATGTGTTCTAGATGTATCTTTTAATCTGTAAGTGTTCTAAAATGTGTACTATCATTTTGGGTTTATGTATCTATGACTTACTATAAATGGTATTCTATACTTCATTCCTGTGTTACTTTTTTCACTAACACTCTTTAAGACTCATTCATATTAGCATATTTCTAGTCCATGATTGCAATGAATTATAAAGTACTCCTTGCCCCAAGCCCTGTTCCTCCCCACTAGGAATTGCATCGTAGAGAACACCATCATCCATGTCTGCTTCTGGACCTACCTATGTGTTACTTCTTTGGGTTGTATATCCAGAAATGGAGCTGATGGGGCAGATGGTGTGCATTTACTTAAATTTGACCAATTATTCTCCAGATGACTTTGTCTCGTTCCCACAGTCATGCATCTTCCTGTATTCCTGCCAACACTTGGCATTACCCAGCCTTCTACATTTTGCCAAGTCTATTAGGTAGCAAGTGTAATGTCATTCTTGTTGTGATTTGCATTTCCCTGGATAACTGAGTCTGAGCATCTCTTCACGTTTGTTAGCCCCTTGAGTTTCTTCTTTTAGAAAGCTACCTCTTTAGATCCATTGCCCATTTTTTAATGAGTTGGCATCTTTTTTTTGTTAATTTGTAGGAAGCAGTCCTTCCCGTGCCCTAAGTCACAAATATATTCTCCTACTCTTTGTTCTATTAAATATATTGTTTTCACTTTCATGTTTAGACCTTTAAGTCATCTGGAGTCCATCTTTTATATGCTATTAAGTAGGGATCGCCACAGAGTGAGCCACTTTCTCAACATCAGTTCCTAAACAATCCATCCTTTTCTCATTGGTTTATCTTGACACTTAGTGTATATTAAGTTCCCAAATAGATGTGGGTGTGTTCTGGGCACTGTCTCTTTATCCCACTAGTCTATCATTCTGTTTTTATGCCACTGCCACATGACATTTGATGACTTAGTGTTTATTGCTTAGTATCATATTAGTGCTTAGGGTACAGACATTTTTTGTTGCCTGTGGAAGATGTGCAGGGTTAGGAAAGTTCCTCAGTAACGCAGTTTCTGGGGAGATTCATCCTCGTTTTTCAGAATAAGGGGAAGGATGGGAGGGCCTTCTCTCAGGAATCAGCCCCTGGGACTCACAGAACTGGAGCTTAGGCTAGGGATGCCACATTCAAGTGGGAGGGTCGGACCAAAAGAAGGTTCTGGGCACCTGTCAACACAAGGAGCATCAGGATAAGCTATGTGTTACTCCTGTGGAAAGACTTCTGTGACATGATGGGGATACCCTGCTGAAGGAATCCTGCTTCTGTCTTCCTGGGATGGAGGTGGTGATGGCATCTGGTCTACATGAGGCCCTGGGCCTGAATCCTTACATGATCACAGCCTGATGCTCATCCTTACTTGGAAATCTCTTCACCAGAGGATTCCTAGGTGTCCTCTTGAGCATCTGCCAAATGCCCCGTTTGAAACATCAGGATGTAAATATACTTTTGAAATGCTTAAACTCTTCTTTATCATTTTTTGATTAATGCATGCATTTTCTTTTCTTAAGTTATTGAGGTTTCTTTCAGCCAGCAGAGCCCTCAACCTATTATCATAAACTTTTTGCTCATGGGATATAAGCCACTTTGATAAGAAGCCAATGCTTCATTCAAA